GGGGTGCCGCTCGGAGGTATTCGTATCTGCAGCGAGCCAGGAGGGGAACTGAAATGCAGGGAAATTATCTCACACGGGGAATAAAAAAATGGCAAATAAAAATATCGGATGCAGTAGTGAGTGGGGGAGCCGGGCGCGGAGCTGCTGGGCTCAGCCTCTCCTCGGGCACGCAGGAGGGTTACGCGTCTCACAAGCCGGACGCATCAGGAGGGGAACTGAAATGCAGGGAAATTATCTCACACGGGGAATAAAAAAATGGCAAATAAAAATATCGGATGCAGTAGTGAGTGGGGGAGCCGGGCGCGGAGCTGCTGGGCTCAGCCTCTCCTCGGGCACGCAGGAGGGTTACGCGTCTCACAAGCCGGACGCATGCAGACCGAGGGGCTCCCTCCCCTTGCCTCTCCTCCCGCGGAATTTCCTAAATAATTGCTCCTGAGAATCCTCATCCCTGCACTCCGGTTCTGCAAACGTTTTGCCAACAAATACTCCGCATTGGTTGTTTTTTACGTGGCCGTGCAGGCGCGCGGGAGCCTTCATGCTTCGCAGGCTGCGGCAGCCCCGATCTTCCGCTGCTGCTTGCGGGGCGCGACCGTTTCACCGAGGATTCAAATTGTATTTGGGAGGGCAAAAAAAAAAAAAAAAATTCCTTTTTCCGCAGAAAATGAGCTGAAGGTTTGTGCACTGTTTAGTCCCGTTTTGAAAGCTGAGGTAGGGCATGGATTGATGCTTGCTGCCTGCTTTAAAGCCAGCATTTCATCCCACCCCTGACACTCCCGTAGAGAAACTCTCCCACCTGGGATAATTGCAGGATGTTCTCCGGAGGAGATCATTTAATTTTTCCTTTTTTTTTTTTTTTCTTTTCCTTCTAGCTGTATAAATACTGTTTTGTTTTGCTATGGATATTCTCAGGTCCAACCCTGTAGATAGATGATGGTTGGGATCTGAAAACCCCTAATCCCTTTAGGGGAAAAGGGAAAGGAGGTGGTTTCTTACTGCATTTATTTGTGAAATAAAGGCTGGAGGAGCTAAGGGCTATTGCACGGGCATTTCCAGCCTCATTCCTGCTGGGGTCCACACCTCTGAAATACTCGATACCTTTGAAATCCCACGGTGATTGCTCTTGGGGGGGGGTTGGTTAGAGCGATTTGCTCCCTTGCGTGTGCAGCCTCCCTCCTTCACCCAAAGGACTCCTGAATCTGGGGAGGCTGCGGGAGAGCGGAGGCCCTTCCCGCGGAGACCGGCGCGCAGCAGCTCCGGCTCAGCTCTCCCGCAGCCTCCCCATCGGCTGGATATCGGGTGGGTGACGGGAGTGGGACAAGGAGAGGGCAGAGGGTCTGGGATGAGGATGCCGAGGCTGCAGGAGGTGAATGGGTTTGGGGGGGGAGCGGGTGCTGGGAGAGGAGAGCGGGGTGGTACCAGGGTGCAGGTGTGATAACACCCTCCACGATGCCAAAAGCATTTTTGGGCTGCGGATGGAAACCTGTTCTGCCGGGGCAAGGGGTCACTCTTGTGTTCTTGCAAAATCGGGCTCTCAAGAGCTTTTCACTACTTTACCCCTTTTTTTTTCTTTAAACGATGACAAGCTCGGTGCTTCAAAAGCATCCCTGAAAGCCCCCACGATGGCATCTGAACTCTTCTTTCCCAGCAGCGGGTTCCCGCTTTCTGGTCAGGGCTGGGAGAGGGGGACAGTCCCCACAGCCGGTGGGTCCACCTGTCTGGTGGCCGCTTCTGGTGGCCAAACCTGGCCGGATTTAGTTCCCATTTTGTAGTTTCCAATTTCTGGCCCTGGTCCTTGTACGTGGGCTGCGAGTGCCACGGGTGCCCGTACGGCCGAGAGCCTGGCGTGGCTCTCCTCCAAGCATCCCTGCGTGGGTGCATCCGTGGGGCCAAAGCCACCAGGATTCCCCCGCAAACGCCAGCACCCATTGCCTGCAGACTGATGCCACCTCACCAGCTTGCTCCCGCAGGAGCATCCCGTGGGCGCCGGGACCCAAATCCGTCCCTTGCGGAGGGGGTCCCGTGTCCAGCGCCGCGTTTCAGGGCTGGATTCCCATGGGAAAAGGGGAAGCATCTTAGCAGGAAGGCACCAGGAAGCTGCTGTGGGTGGAGGGGTCGATATGGGGACAGGGCAGGGCAGGGGAGGGGGGGGGACAAGTGACTTTTGCATCCAGGAACGTCCTGGCTCCCGCTCTGAACTGGGTCCAAGCCTCTCTCTGCTGCAGCCAGCTGAACCCCAGCAGGAGCCGGCCGAGCTTTGTGTCTCGGCAATAACGTCTCATAAAATTAAATGATGTGTGTGTTGGAGTTCGGTGGATGTGGATATTTGTGTCTGAGCTTGCTCCAGCAGGAGCCTTTCGCTCCCACAAGAGCTGAACCCATGTGAATATCCTCATTTCTCTTGTTTTGTTCACCACCACCACCCCCCCCCCCCTTAGGAAAAAGCATTACCCTCACGACTAA